TATTTTTTAATTTGTTGACCTTTTGTTAACTCAAACAAATCGATTAGTTAATTTTTGTCAAATTTTTTAAAATTTATAGAAACAGCTATAAACTAAAACCAATGTTTCCAAAGTTTAAATCAGAGTAAATTTTAATTAGACCCATACTGAACTGAGACATTATTATTAGAATTTTGTAGTAATAAAAGTAGATCTGTAGGTAAAGATTCAAATTCTTTATCAGAAGTTGTAGGTAATAAAATTGGTAATATATTTATATATAATTTGAGAAGTATATTGTATATATCTAATGTTAATAGTAAAATGTGATTTGGTAATAATTTAGTCTTATGTAGTAGATAAATATGTACTTTTTTTTCTGTTTTTAGATTGTGAGTTAGCAACAAATTTTTTAAGATGTAGTATATAGATACTAAGATAAGAACAGAATGATTAAAGGTGTGGTAACTTAATGAAGTGGTGAAGTTGTCACACCCCAAAGTGGCAGGACAAGAGTTTGAATTCTACCGGCGACGAAATTTAAATTTAAAAAATGTGTTATGGCAGACTGTGTGTAATCTGATAGATCATCAGATCTGTAGCCTTGGTCATACCAGCTTGTACTGGAAGGACATAAAACAATAGTGTGATGCAAGAGTTACATGAAACCTGAGTAAAATGTTTGTGTAAATCCAAGGGCTGGGTCATACAGAATCCCACTTGGCAAGTCTCGAGTAGAAAGATAGCACAGATCTTCAACGGTACTATATAAAAGATGATTATCAGTGATCGGACACTAGCAGTAAACTAGACGAGGACTGGGTGTTTGGCAAGACACTAATACCAACCAGGCTACGAGTATATGGGAGTGGCCCCATATAAATGAGAAAAAAAGATTCAATCAGAATACCAAGGGGATGCCCACTAGTCCCTCTCTGGGCTATCTGGATTGGAAGTTTGGAATACTGTTGGTGAAGGAAAGTCAGTATTAGTCTGTAAAGTTTGTGCTGGAGTCTGAGTGAACTTTACAAGGGCAAGAAGTAAGAAGTAGGTAACAGTAACAGAGAGATACCACAAGTACTTGGTCTTGGCCTAAGTGTAAGTTACTAAAAATCTAGGTGATACATGTGTAGGACATGGACCGCTCTAGTAGGTTTACTACAAAGATAAATTAGTTCTAAGGGGCCTTAGCGGCAGTTCCTCTTTGATAAGAATATCTGATGACGCTAAGTTGATCAGAGGGTTTAATTAAGTAACTCAAGTAATAGTGGGTTATAGGTACAGCATCTAGTATAGTACTTAGTAATAGGGAACTATTTAATTAGATGCTCAAAAGGCTGTAATAAAGTCAGGGTGGTCCTGTAGCTGCCCTGGCATTCGCAACTGAAGTTAATAAATGTGCTAGACCCCCAAGTGATCACCTTAATAATAAAAAAATAAAAAAAAGAATAGAATGATTATAGAGTTTGAAGTTCTTTAAGAAGAGAAGTTTATGATATAGTAAATATTTGTTATAGCATGCATCAAAATCATAGGAGTCTAAAGATATTGATGATAATTTTGACAAATAGTCTTTTGCAAAAATCAGTCACTATTTTAAGCTTAGTTCTCACAGCTGTAAAGAGAACCATAGTTTATTTTGTAATTAAGTCTAACTGTTATTATCTTAATTTTCTGCATAATATAAATATTTATATTAATTTTAGTATTTAATTAACATTATATTTATAAATATTTATATACTATTTTATTTACAATCATTTAATATATAAGTATAGAAACCATATATAGAGCTATTGCAATAGAAAGAGCCAAAACTCATAAATATATAATTGTAAAGAAAATTATATTTATTTTGTTTATACTGTTCTGGTTCAATCAAAATTCAGTGAATTGATTGGTTAGTTATATTGAATAATCTTATAATATACAAACCTTCAATATATATATATATATTTTTTAATTTTTATTAAGCAAATCAATTTCTACTTACAATCGAAAAATGTAACCTATCTTGAAATTTATTGAAATCTTACAAAAACTTAATTTTGACTTTTGTGGAAGTTTGGATCCTTTCTATTGCAATGGCCCTATATAACTTTAAGTCTTTAAAATAAGTTATTTAAATCTGTAAATTTATTTTATTTATTTGCATTAATTTAATACATGAGCATAGAAAACAATTGTTTTAAATTTTACAGTAAATATAATAAGAATTTAGCTATTCAAGTTTATAATATTTACTATTTATGTGCATAAATAGTGCATGATAATAATTTGGGCATTTAAATTAGATATCTAAATTCATAAATACTTACTGCTTAAGTTTATTTTATTCAGATAATTTAAAGTGCCTGAGAATAAAGTACATTTATTAATCCCAAGGTTGGCATGAATAGAATTCAAACAATAGAAATCTGTTCAATGTTCAGTGTCCAAATTGTCCGATCAAAATCAATAGATATAAGATTAAACATAGGATAACTTTCTCGCCATATATTTAACACATGACAATCAAAAATAATTGCATTGTGTGTGCCAATAGGTCAATTGCAACTGTAAAAATCTTAATCTCTGCTTTATTTTATTAATATAACTACTTTCATTTATATTTATGCTTCACGTCGAGATAGATTCCAAATTAATTTGTCTTAACAGAATTTTAAACTGAATTTGTTAGAGAATTCAATTCCACCTTATAAGTGGATTTAAAGTTAATTTCAACTCAATTAATGTTAGACAGTGGGGATAATAGGTTAGCATTGCTTGATAAATATATTTGATAATGGTAATTAAAATTTGAATTTTTGGCAAATTTTAACTTAATTCACCATGATTCTCTAATTTATTTGTCAAATCACTCTATATTGTAATTTTTTTTAGACAAAATGACTGAATTGTAAAAATAAATCTCTTAATGGTAAATCTGATAATAGATGTGTAAAACTTCTATTACAAGAAAAATTATAATTTTCAAAATCCATTAAATTCAACATTTGGAACTAATGATAATGAAAGCATTAATTAGCATTGGAATATCACTGGACATTTGACAATTATCCGAATTGTCCAGTGCAATTTTACTGGACATTGTCTGGTGACAACTATAACTGCGCCTCATTGAACACCGAACATTACATAGGACAATTCGGACATGTCTGATGCCCGATAAAACATGTCATTTGCACAACCCTAAGTATTTGGGTTCATGAATATTTACTTTGGTAGTAATAAAATAATGCGTATTATATGCAAAAACTCAAGAAACACCTTATCAAGTCCTATTTACGGAGCCTGAACTAAAAAGATGAACTAATATCCCTTGGACCGTGCTCAACGGCACGGGTTTTCGCTAATATATAAATAAGTACAGTAAACTCAATTCTTTTTCGGATGTTCTATAGAATAGGTGGGCAAACTCCGCAAACTTGCAACTCCAATAATAAAAAATTAATGATTACTAATCATTAGCGAAGCTTATTTCTTATATTGCCCACCTATTCTATAAAATATCCCCTTTGTCCCTCATGTAAGCAGATCTACACCAAATCAAGAAACTCACACCTCAATTTGCATCAAATAATCCAAACAAGGTTAGCGTTAGATAGCGTACAAATGTAATATCAACTCCGAGTAATTTTACGATTTTTTTAAACAAAATAATTTAGTTTCAGCGAACAATTTATTTAAACAATCGATTTAATAAAGTATCGATATAAATAAAAAATAAATAAATGTCGTGGTAACATTAAATACGTGCATACGTACATACTCCGAGTAATTTTACGATTTTTTTAAACAAAATAATTTAGTTTCAGCGAACAATTTATTTAAACAAACGATTTAGCAAAGTATCTATATAATTAAAAACTTAAATAAAATATAAAGCCAAATCATGACAAAATGGTACCGACAACACTACCAATATCTCTATCGAGTATTCGGCAGCCTAAAGATTTTTCTCCTTATGTAATTCAATATAAAGAAGAACTCAAAAGGAATTCACCTCATAATATTCGTGATCACAATCTTCGTGAAAAAGTTATTATTCTTAATGCTGCCAAGGCTTATCGAGATAAACTTGAATCCAAGAGCAAGACGTCGAATTAGGTGCAACTTCGGAAGAAATTGAATTGGATAAATTGTCCTTAAAAAGTAGATAGCGACTCCTCAATGAATTCAGTACTATATTTTGTCCAAAGAAGAGATTTTTGTTCATGATAATGCTTATTAAACTAAATATTTGTATATTATATATCAAAGTATCGATTTATATTTCTATATTTTAGAACAAAAGTAATTCAAAATCCATAGATTTTAGGGGAATTTGCAAATAAGGGCCCAAAAGCTAAAATAATTACAAATAGGGGCTCAAAATGAAAATAATTACAGATAGAGACCTGATATTTGAAATACATATAAGGGCCCAAAATAATTATGCGCTTAAGAACCTATGATTTAGGTCCCGTTTCGATGATTTGAATATGATTGTAATATAGTCATTAATTGTTAACATAAGAAATGTAATAATAATCTATTAG